TTTCTTTTCATTTTTTCTTCTTTTCTTGATTTTCTGTGTTTTTTCCTTTTCTTTTTTCTTCTTTTTTCTTCTTTTTTCTTTCTTATTCATGTTTTTCTTTTCTTTTCTTCTCCATTTTTACTCCTATTTTTTCCTTTCTAGTTTTGGAAATCTCTCCACCTTGCATTCGTCCTCTCGACCTTACAGTATTTCCTAGTTCTAATATTCTCATTAACCTTCCTCTTCTGTTTCTATTTCTCTTTATCTTCCAACCTTCTTTCCTCTTTTACTGTTTTTCTTCGTCTTCACTGTCTATTCCCTTTCATTCTCTTTCTTCAGTCAGACATTCTCATCTCTTTCTTTCTTTCCTTTTTTTTTATCCCATTCCTCTTCTTCCTTATTTTCTTTCTCCTTTCTTTCTATCTGATTTTTCATTCCTTCCGGGAAATACAAGCCACTTTGCCCTTGACATGTCCGTCTTCGTGACTACATCGCTCAACTTCTGACCGATCGATGGTTTTGGCGCGAAACTGTTTAGCCAAGCGAATTGAAGATGAAGTTCCCTACAGTTAGAATTCCAAGTGGGACATTAATTTAGATTTATTCTTTTCAGTTGTATATTGTACCTATTTCCACAAAGCACAATCACCATCATCAGCAACCGTAGTAGCAGCAGCTATTCTCAGCTATGTATTGCCAGCAAAATCCTCTATTTCTTCTCCCCATCTTCAATCTGGTCTTTTCCTTTGCTGCTCATTGGTTACCATTCAAGCAACCTTTTACTCCATCTGGTTTCTTCTCGCTATGAATTTCGTTTAATCTCTTCTTTGATATATACAATGCAACCTCGGTTCTCGAACGACTCTCATGTCGAACAAATCGGTTTTCGAACAGAAAATTCGAGATGAAAATTCCTCGGTCATCGAACAAAATTTCGGTTCTCGAACAGCCGAACCGAGTTAACCCGAACGGAATAATTTCTGAGTCGATTGCCGTATTGTATAGATTCGTGTGTTGTGTCGTGCTTTTCTTTTTCAATTTTATTGTACTGTGACTTTTTTCTCTATATTGATTCCTATTGGAAAAATAGTTTCGGTTTACGAATATTTCAGGTTACGAACGGCCTTCAGGAATGAATTAAATTCGTGAACCGAGGTTCCACTGTATATTATCTTGGTCTATTCTCTTATCCCTGGGTTAGAACAAGCTATGAGAGTTACTCTTACTATGTAACACTGTGAAAACTTACCGCATGATCGGGTCATAAACGACTAAACCGCTCACCCTACCAGGCTTTTGTTTTTTTTTTTTGTTTTTTTTTTTTCATTGAAGAAGTTGGCTAGACACTCATCAGGATTAAAAAACAAAACCTGTCTAGTACAGTGAGGAAGACTTCTCTCTATATTTATATGCGTTTAGTGTACATCGCTAAGTGGAGAGCTTCCTAGACTGAAGTTAACGTCCAGAATGATGAATTAACAGTCACGTATCCATAACCAAAGCGAGTCTTTAAGATGGAGATTTTGGCTGCAGTTTGAGCTGGAGAAGGTCTATTTGCCAAAGACATGCTACGCGTGAATAAATATCTCTCCGGATTTGAACCCAGATATGTGAAGGGAGACTATCAGGTGTTCAGCGACCCTGCTACCACCCCTGGTCATGGGATTCTTTTATCTATGCAAGCCACTTTCTATTTCTGACTTACGGCTATATCACCTTAAACACAGGTTCCCGTACGAAAACCGAAGTTAAGCAACGTCGAGTCTGGTCAGTACCTAATTGGAGGACCGCTTGAGAATACCAGGTGCTGTAAGCTTGGGTGTACGAATGGTGTAATGGATAACGGCTCGGAATTGAAAATCGGAGAGCCGTGTTCCAATTCCAGTCTGGTTCGTTATATTCACTTACACGCAAATATCGTTGGGAAAGGTACAAATCCAGCTCTTCTCCTCCTAGCTATTGGTTAATTAGTAAGACTTGTTTCAGTGCATGATTACTATTTTCAAAAAATTCTTACAATCTCAAAATATTTTCTGGTTTTAAGTAACATGCAAAAGTTTGATAAACTGTAAAAAATCAAAATCAATCATTCAATTAATCTTTAACAAAAATCTCAATTTTAAAAAGTTAATCTGGGGGCAAACCGTCAGCATACGGATAGAAAATGAGTTCAATAAATATTCAAAAATAGAACGGAACCTAAGACAAGGATGTGCCTTCTCGCCAGACCTATTCAACTTTTTCAGTGAAGCAATCTTGAGAGAATTATCAGTTCTACAAGAATTCATTATTGTAGGTTAAAATTTAGATATGTAGATAGCACAATGTTGATAGCCGCTGCTGACAGGAAACTGCAGGAACTTTTACAGAAAGTATTGAAGGAAAGCGAAAAGGAAGGACTAAAGCAATTCTTTAAAGACGGGCGTATGGTTGTCAGCAAAAGAAACAGCTTAGCATGATAATTACAAATTGGAAATACCAAAAACAAGCAGGTAGAGTAAAAGTATTTGCTGGCTTTAAATAACCTGCAAAAGGTTGATAAGCCGCAAAAAAAAAACCGATCAATCTAGAGAATAATTTGGATACGTTTGATAGATTATCATATCCGATCCCTTTTTTACAAGGTCGGATAACTATCCCTAGACAGATTAGACTAGATTTTTCTCTATACACTGGGTAAGCAGATGTACGCATCGTTTCTAGAATTCTTTTATTAAATTCGGGTTTGTAAAGTACTAATCAGTTGTGTGATTAATGTAAACAATATGTAGCGCCAGTATGCGAGGGATGCATTCTGAATGTGTTGTTGTATGAGAATGACTTTGTTCTTCTTAGAAATTTCTTTCCAATATTAGAGTGCGTCTTCCAAGTCGCAACGTCATGTAAGCCGGAAAATATGGTAATTATTTCAGGAACGGAGAGATTGAAAAAGATTTTGGTACAGATTTATATTTTGATAAGATTCGATAGCAGCATTCTCCAGAATTTTCCGGCTAAGTTACTTTCTCTTTTAATAAGTATGGATTTGTTTAGATGTAAGTTGTGGTTGAAGCAGATATAAAATAAACTGTCACAATTGCCCCTTACAGTATATTGGGGAAATTTGCAGAAATTAAAAAAAAACATATCTATGAAAAGGATCTTATACACAACAATTTATCAAATTCATTATCCATACATAGAAATAAAGAGGAATAAAGAGCGGCCAACACCATCTGGCTACAATCCCTCAATATGCCCTGTGAGGGTTAAGATTTCCAATTCCTCCTTCCTTATTATGTGCCCAGGGAATTTCAGCTGTCTCTACCAGATTCTGAACATAAGCATCCATTTTAATACCATTTTCTTTAAGACTTCCTCGTTGCTTTCTCTCTCAGTATCCTTCTGTAGAACCACATTTCTGCTTTCTCCTCATCCGTGGGAAGTTTGTCCAGAATTTACTGCCATATATATCCTGCATTCTTTACGTTTGTTTCTAACGATTTTTTGTTTCTCAACACTTTGCTTAACTTTTAGAATGCCTCTCTTGCTAGTCCACTGCGTACTTCGGATTTTGGTGTCATATTTTCCATAAAAAACATCCCAGTATTTTAACCATCTGTACTTTCTCGATGCTACCATCTTCAATTTGTAACACGCACCTTGTGCTTTTCCTCTTACTGATGATCACACTTTCTGTCTTCTTGCAAATGATGGCTAGTCCTTTTGTTTACTCTTGCTTTCTTTTACTACCCTGTCTAAGAGGTTCTATAGTTCTCTTTCCATGTCAGCCATCAACGCCGTGTCATCTGTGTATCTTATATTGTTAAGATTACGCCTACTGATAATAAATTTTAGCAAAGTCTCCAGCTTCCTTATGATAACCAAGCTGTAGAGACTAAATAAATCTGGGGAGAAGACGCATCCTTGTCTTACGTCCTTTTTTTTAATTTTGTGTAGCTACTGAATATATTTTCTCTCTCTATGGGAGGTGGTTTGCTTCCAGTATAAGTTCTGGACTAGTCTAACATCCTTTGCAACTAGATCAAGTTTTCCTAGCAGTTCAAATCGATCCTTGTGTCATAATTTGTCAAATGCTTTTGCGCCATCTATAAAACACAAGGACGCACGCGTTTCCTTTATGAAATTGGCAAATATTTGTACTTTTTGGGATTTTCACCTGCATCTTTCACTCAATAATGTTTCATCGATGTTATTAATATTTCTCACCCAATTAAGGGCATTGAGAAGGAAGACTATCATGCTGAAAAATAAATATTTACTGTGTAGATTTTTTTTCATCCTTGCCTTACTTGTATGTGTGAATAGATAGATAGATAGATAGATAGATAGATAGATAGATAGATATTAATAAACAGGGATATATAGATATGAACAGATTGAACAAATTGAGATAGATATGAACAGTGTCAGATAGATATACAGATAGATATCACACATTATGAAAAGTCCGACAATTATTTTAAGACATTTTTATGTTTACGTTCTACTTATAGTCACAAATATTTAAGTAATTGCTCTGTTTATAATAAACAGTATGAAAGACATTTACCGGCCTGAATCTCCGAGAAATTTTCATAGAAAATATGCGTCCTCCGACTGGAATCAAACGTATAATCATGAAAATGTCTTAAAATAGATAGATATGTATAGACTGGCAAAGATCTTACTTATTATAAAACGCAGATTTTGTGTGTGTGTGTGTGTGTGTGTGTGTGTGTGTGTGTGTGTGTGTAACGTTTATATATTGGATCGGATTTCCTACATTTTTCAACCGATTTCAACAAAACTTCACAGGACTACATAAAATTACCTTGTGGTGGTTCTAACAGCGCCAAAAGTGGGAAAAATATAATTGTTTTTGCACAAAATCAATTTGAAAACACGATTAAGAGACATCGTGAAAATGGAAGGGGGACAACTCACATTGGATTTCCTATATTTTTCAGCCGATAAAACAAAACTTCACTTTTTTTTTTTTTTTTTTTTTTTGGCAGGTAGTGTTTCTTATTCTCTTGCACACTTTTTTCTTTATTTTTAACATTCAGAATGCTTTAAAAATTCCATTTACAAGACAATTATTTATAATAAAATTCTATTCAATTGGGAGACACATAACGATTGAAAACAATGTTTTGTTTGAGTTTGGGTTTGACCAATTCGTAAAAAAAAAAAAAAAAAAAACTAATTAAGACATGCGTGTCCGTCAACCTTAAACAATAATCTTTGTCAATTTTATTTTTCAGTCTTTATGATGGTGGATACTTGATCTATCTCTTACTGTTATATCCCCGGGCAACGCCGGGCTCTACTGCTAGTAGCTATTAATAGACTGAATATATAGATATGTACAAACTGAGATAATAAAAAATAATGAAATGGATTGAGATAGATATGAACAGATTGAGATAGATAGATAGATAGATAGATAGATAGATAGATAGATAGATAGATAGATAGATAGAAAGAAAAGAAACCAGTTACGATGCTCTGGTTGAAAACGAAAATTTTCTTAAATATTCTCGGTGCCAAGGGAGCTAACCTTGATCAACTAGATGACAAGCCTAAAAGATATTATAACCGACTGCAGATTCCGGATAGTCAGTCAAATAAATCATGTCTGACCCTCTTTTTCATTCTTGCCGCCGTCTGGCATCTCAATGGAAGATATAGGAGGTAGGCATTGAATTCGTTTTGGGTGGGAATCTATGATAGGGGTTTAGTGTATATTGGTTTTAAATTGTGCCTCTCATTTATTTCTCAATCCTTTTTTCGACTTTCTGGTTTCACTACAATGTTCTGATTATGGAGTTTGTTTGGGGCTAAAATAAATATAAACTAAAAACATATAAACTGCTTGTTTGGCTGTTGTTTCATCTTGGTAAAAGATCAAAGCAAACATCGAAAGCTTTATTCACCTTTCTGATTCTCTCTCTCTCTCTCTCTCTCTCTCTCTCTCTCTCTCTCTCTCTCTCTCATCTTTATCACTTTCTCTCTCCCTCTTTCTCTTTCTAATCTTTCTCCATCTTTCTCTCTTTCCCTTTCCCTCTCCCTCTCCCTCTCCCTCTTTCTCTATCATTTTTATCTCTCTTTCTCTCTACCCTCTCTCTCTATCATCTTTCTCGCTCTTTCTCTCTCCCCCCCTCTCTCTCTCTCTCTATCATCTTTCTCACTCTTTCTCTCTCTCCCCCTTTTTCTCTATCATCTTTCTCACTCTTTACAGATCGATACCATTTGTCTAAAAGAGAAAGAGAGAAAAAGATGATAGAGAGAGGGGGTGAGACATCTTTCTCACATTCTCTTTCCCTCTCTCTCTCTCTCTCTCTCTCTAATCTTTCTCCCTCTTTCTCTTTCTCCCTCTCCCCCTCTCTCTATCATTTTTCTCTCTCTGCCCTATATTTATCTCTATCATTTTTCTCGCTCTTTCTCACTCTCCCCCTCTTTCTCTATCATCTATTTCTCTTTACAGATCGATACCATTTGTCTAAAAGAGAAAGAGAGAGAAAGATGATAGAGAGAGGGGAGAGAATCAGAAGAAAAAGAAGTAATTAAATGAAGTTAATGAAGAAAAAACAATGACGAAGAAAAATAATTCGGAAAAATAAAGAAGAAAAATAATTCGGAAAAATAAAGAAAAGAAGAAAGATCACGAACAAAAAGGAAAAAGATAAAGAAGAAGAAAGATAATGAAAAAGAAGAAAGATCATGAAGAAAAGGAAGAAGAATAAAGAAGAAGAAAGGCGATTAAAAAGTAGAAGGATGAGGATAATGAAGAAGAAAGACAATGAAGAAGAAAGATAATGAAGAAAAGAAAGAAAAACAATGAAGAAGAAAAATAAAGAAGAAATATAATGAAGAAAGGTTGATGAAAATTAAAAAGAAATGTATGAAGAAAAAGAGGATAATGAAAAAATAAGAAATATCATGGCGTAAAAGACAATGGAGAAAAGAAAAAGAAGGATGAAGAAGAAGAAAAATAATAAAGTATTATTATTATTATTATTATTATTATTATTATTATTATTATTATTGGTTCAAGAGAAAATTGAATCAATTCAATGCGTAGTAGCAGGTGGCTAAAATCTACAGGAAGCGAATAATTCGACCCGCTAAGTGATGTAGACTCAGTAGTAGAAACTCGTTAGGAATAGAATCAAAATGACAAGCGGGATGAAGTGACTTGCCTCAGTGACTTTCTGTTTCTCAATAAGACTCTGGTCAAAGACGGAAAGAATTTTTCTAAATAAATTTTATTATTATTATTATTACTAAAACTACAATGAAGTTCATGCGAATTTCCACTATTTATTTGTTCGTTATATTGAGCTAGTATCTAATAACACTAATTGAAACATCAGTGTCCTAACACTTGAACTAAACATGTTCGTTTTGTTTGTAGTTTTTATTTTCATGATACCGTTGATCAGTAAAACAAGGAAATCTTTCTAAATATCCTCCTTGCTTTAGTAATATTAGATTGTCTTTATTGCAGTGTTCCCGATGATCGGCGCCTAATTTGTGATTACGATCAGAAACCAAATACCGAGATTAAACACCAGCGCCGAACCGGGTCGAGATAAGAAGAAAGGATCAGGCAAACAACTGGACTGAAGTATAGAAGCTGGACACGGTGTTAAGGCACCGAACAAGCTGAAGCACACTCCGCTACCGGACCCAACCCGCTACCACTACTCAGCAACTTCATCTCCTGGGGCTAGACTTTAAAAAATTAAATTACTTCCTTCCTTCAACGTTCAGTCCTTCTTTTCTCTATCTAATCGTCTCCATTCTGCTTGGCGATGTGTCCGGCTCCCTGGGGGCACTTGGCGCGCGAACGAACGACCGTTCACTTATCAGCCAGCCTACCCGGCCCACCTTCTCTACGTTTCGTTTCCCTGGTTGCACGCTCGTTGTCGCTCTATGCTCTTCTCAAGGAATTTCGCGTTTCGTTTTCCTTGCACTCAGCTCTATTGTTAAGCGCACATGCGGTAGAGTGTCTCCCCCTCAACCCGAGGATAAATTTTTCTCCTTCGTATTTCCTGATATACCGATAATGGCGGCCTCATTATGCCACACTGCCAGCTAAGGCATACCGGGAAGAGAGACGAGCCGGATAGTTGGTTGGTTGAAGAGTGGAATTGTGTTGGGAGACTTTTAGGGGGGGGTTATGGTATGAGACGTTATGAGAAGAAAGTGGATATATGTACGTGTTTTCAGTGTAAGTCTGTGTAGCGGAGGAGTGTGCGAAATGGCGGTAAAGAAGAAGTGATGAAGGAATGTTGAAGTTGTATTAAAAGCAAGAATCTATTGAGAGGGTTAAGGTTAGGTGAAAGAGACTTTAAGAAAGAAAGAAAGAAAGAAAGAAAGAAAGAAAGAAAGAAAGAACAAGAATAAAATCAAAGAAAAAATCGAAGTGATAAAAACAAAGAATTGAAAATAAGAAAGAAAGAAAGAAAGAAAGATAGAGAGAAAAAGAAAGAAAGAATAATAGCAGAATAAAATCAAAGAAATAATTGAAGTGATAAAAAGAAAGAATCGAATATAAGATAGATAGATAGATAGATAGATAGATATAAAGAAAGAACAAGAATAAAATCAAAGAAAGAATCGAATTGATAAAAAGAAAGAATCGAAAGAAAGATAGAAAGAAAGAAAGAAACAAAGAAAGAAAGAACAAGAATAAAATCAAAGAAAGAATCGAATTGATAAAAAGAAAGAATCGAAAGAAAGATAGAAAGAAAGAAAGAAACAAAGAAAGAAAGAACAAGAATAAAATCAAAGAAAGAATCGAAGTGATTGAAAAAAAGAATCGAAAATAAGAAAGAAGATAGATAGATAGATAGATAGATAAATAGATAGATAGATAGAAAGATAGAAAAATAAAGAAAGAAAAAGGAAACAAAGAAATAAATATATAGAGAAAAGAAAGAAAGAACAAAAATAAAATCAAAGAAAGACTCGAAACGAGAAAAAGAAAGAATCGAAAATAAGAAAGAAAGAAAGAAAGAAAGAAAGAAAGAAAGAAAGAAAGAAAGAAAGAACGAGAATAAAATCAAAGAAAGAATCGAAGTGATAAATGTCTTGTCAATAACCGCAAATGAACAAGCACTCAAAAGAGAAAGAAAGAAAGAAAGAAAGAAAGAAAGAAAGAAAGAAAGAAAGAAAGAACTTTTCAGCTCGGAAAAAAGAAAAAGCAGATTTTTGGCTACAAAAAACGAAAGAAAGAAAGAAAGAAAGAAAGAAAGAAAGAAAGAAAGAAAGAGAGAAAAATTTAAAAACAGAATAACCACACAAAAATTAAAAATGATGGGAAAGAAGAAATCTAAAACGACAAAGATCTGAAAAATGAAAATAAGGAAGAAAAAAGAATATAAAATGAAAGAAAGAAATTTAAAACTGAAAAATCAAGGAAAACTTTGAGAAAGAAAAAAAAACTAACACTAAAAAGAAAAAATAAACAATGACAGCAACAAAGAAAGTTCTAAAAAACGAAAATAATAAGAAAGAAAATCTTTAAAATGAGAAAGAAAGATAAAAAGAAACTTTAAATCTAAAAAATAACAAGAAAAATTTAAGATATTAAAAATGAAAAAAAAACTAAAATGAGAAAGCATCGAACAATTAACAGTTCATGAGATTATCTTGTAATCAAACAGGTTGTATTGTTGAAGTGCCGTCGTGGCCCATTGATCAGTAAACTCCACTTGTAGATCATTAGTAGAGACTTTGATGATAGTGTAATGGTCAACAAGCTAGACTTGTAGATCATTCGCCCCTCACTAAGTGCCAGAATTAGAGTGACCTTGTGCCGAAACTAAAATAACCCGAGTAAATAACAATTGCACTGTATTAATACGGTATTTGTAAAAATGAAATTAAATGCAAGAATCCACCAGTAAAACTGCATTTGTTCGATATTTCCTACTGGAGCCAGTGGTTTGTCTTCGAACGGAAGAATTTCAATGCTTATTTATTTTCTCACTGCTTGGAAAAATGAAGCTATACAATCTTCCCGTCTCATTCGTGTTACTCTATATACTCTAAACAAGTATAATGACGAATGTGCCATCCTAACTTCTAATCCTGCATAGGAGTAAAATTCCTAGTACGCTAACATAACTTAGATTTTGCACAACAGTGCCAGCGCACAGAGAGGGTTAAATGAAAAATGCTGTTCGCCTCCACAACAACGCAAGTCCGCTTACGATAAGAATAGCATATGTCTGTCCTTACTCCACCCTCTATATTCAACTGATCTTGCACCAACCGTTTCTTTACGAGTACGCACAGGGAATCAAGGACCAAATGTCTTAATTAATGGAAGGATTGAAAATGTATTATTGCCACATAATATTACACGAAATCAAACAAAAGGAAACCTTCTGTAAACATTTAGAAAAATATGTAGTGTTTATGGTCAAGCAAACACGAAACTGGTTTGCAAAGCTTTGGTCTGGAGAAACATCGTTTTGGAAGATGAACAAAGACCGGGGTATTCATCGGACTTTGATAGTGAAGTTCTAAACTCATTACAGGAAATAAATCCATGGCAATTAGCAAAGATATTAAAATAATTCTAACAATATACTGAAATAAAAGTTAAATGACGGATAGAAGATTCGTTCTTACTGTAGATCTTATTAAACGCAATAAGAGATTAACAACAATAATTAATAATGAAATAGAACAATTATAACAATATCCCGTAATAAACTTACGTGACAGAAGATTCGTTCTTACCGGTGATCTCATTAGACACAATAAAAGATTAATAACAATGCTCTATATCTATAAAACAGATGTGTGTGTATGCTATTTATGCACATCCACATTTCTCGACTGATTTCAATGAACTTTTATGCACATGTTGCAAATTTATTATATTAGGTCAAGACCAACTTTTCAATCTCCAGGCCCCTCGGGTATGACAGAAAAATTGATAAAACTAAAGGTGGGTAAAACTTTTTGTAAAAACCGAGGCAAAATTACACGCGAACAAAATTTTTCCTGGATGAGCTGATGTTTTGTGCACTTAATTCAAAACATAACTCATGTTATGAGGTTTATGTAGAGTGCTTCATAGTTTTTCTGCGACATTGGCTTCACACAAAAATTGCAAAAAGCTATGAAAAAATCGTGTTTTTCGTACTACTTAAAAGAAAAACTTGAATAACTTCCTCATTTTTGTCCGATTTTCTTCAGACATGTTTGAATAAAAATTGCCATCATGCAAGAAATAAGATAGTGTGCTTTTAGTCCTGCTCACTTCCCCGTGTATAACGAAAAACCACGAAAAACTGTTCAAAAGGCCCGTTTTTCGGCCATAACTCCCTGGTTTTTCATCCGATGCTTTCCAAAGTTGCCTTGTAAATTCCATATGACACACAAATTGTCTTGTATAAATGTTTGGTTTACATTATTTCAGTAAAGTGGATGAAATCTGCAACAAACTAGGTCCAAAATCAGCTTTTGCCATTTAGCCAATAGTTTCTTCATATGATTCCATCCTAAACTGGCATTCAAACAACTTTTGATGTAAAGATTGTTTAAGAAGGATTATTGAAGCCTTAAAGGGGAAAAAATCCTGAAGAACCTCTTATTAACCCCAGCTTTACAGTAAACGTGCGAAGGAGTGGACGTTCATGCTTTTGCATATGCAGTTCAACCAAGCTCTGACGCTTCATCTCTGTTTTTGTTTGATTATTAGATTTGTGAACAATGCCATACTATTTGAAAGTTATTACGGCCATAGAAAATTTACTGAATATCTAAAACAATGAAACAATTTAACCCCAAGCAACAACTACAGAAGATTTTTTCAATGGAATTCCTTTATTAAGAACAATCAAACACTTACAAAGGACATGCCGCAAAAGATGAGGAGGAGTAGCTTAGTATACCAACGGATGATGCATGCAAGCGCAGGCAGACATTTCTAGACAGTGTAGTGCGGGTATACAGGCGGGTGCGGTTATATAAATGTAGTCATGTACACCCGAGCAACGCCGGGTACCTCGGCTAATTAATAATAAACATGTGCAACTTTCACTTTGTTCCATCAGTTCAGTGTTGAATTTGGCATCTTTCAAGGGGGAGCTTTTTATAGAGTTATTTCTCTTATCCCCGGGGTGGGGGAGATGTGCTAAGGACATACATACACATAAATAGAGATTAACAACAATATCTAATAACAAAATAGAACAATTATAACAATATCCTGTAATAAAAGTTACGTGATAAGTAGAAGATTTGTTCTTACCGGAGATCTTTATCACCAAAACATATGAGTTCTTTTTCTTCCTTAAGTCTGAATATAAAAGATACCAAGTTGAGTTAAAAGTTATTTCGGATTCTCACTAATGATTTTTGTCAATCTTTCTTTATTCTTTATTTTCATAGATTCATCATCATAGTGGGCATCCTCGAGTGAAAATAACACTGTATTTTGCCAAATGTGTTTGGTCCTTCCAGATCAAGAGTAGCCATTCAGCCAGGGGTCAAGTAATACAGAGTTTGTCAATTAAGAGATCTAACACTGTTTTACATTGGAAGAAAGGAAAATTCAAAAAAACTAACACCAGATACAGGCTAGAAAAAGATATCAGTTATTATAGTGACAAGCATTACTTGCTAATTACAGTCCAACATGTTTGTTACTTTGACTATCTTTATTTACAGTAGGATTGCCATACACCAACTTATATCTATATCTTTTGAAAGAAGCTGCCAGTTGAACTCCTTTTGGATAATAACATAGAATTCCACAGCAAGGTTTCTTTTCAATGTACATATGCTCTGTCAGGAAATACCAGGTTGAGTCAAAAGTTTTTTTTTCAGATGTTCACTGATGATTTTTGTCAATTTATATATCTCCATGTTATATCATGAATTTGATACAACTTGTTACCAAATCATTGCTGAATTGTTCATTCTTTATTTTCATATATCACATATAAACATTATTTATTCTTTATTTTACAGTTTTGGTAAATGGTGGAAAAATTGCAATTACAGCTATTTTATGCTAACTGAAAAAAAAGGGATTCAGTGCAAGGTCAGTGGCAAAAGAAATTAATGATTGTGAAAAGTGCAAGAACTGTCAACGAATGTGTGGCACAAAACTGGTTCAGATGTTTTAAAGAAGGTGACACCAGCGTTGAAGACAAACCAAAGGTCAGAGGGGTGAGGTTTTGTTTGAAATGGGTAAGCAACACCCAAGTACATTGTTGGTAGATCTCAGTCACTCACAAAGCACCATCAATTGACACCTCTATAAACTCAGCCTTGTGAATAGATGCTGTTGAGAAGTTCCTATGAACTGACCAATGACCAGACTCAACAACATGTGAACATTTGCAAACAACTGCAAGCAATTCCTCAAGATGCCTGTTTTTAGTGTCAAATTGTAACTGGGGATGAAAAATGGCTATCTTCATAATCATAATAGAAATCAGTGGCTTCATTCTGGCCAAGCTTCAGAACCTGTTGTCAAAGGTCATATGTGTTTGGTGGAATTTCAAGGTGGTGTTCCGCTTTTCAGTACCACGCTTATAAATCATCCCTCTCTATTAAAACGTATTTATTCTGCTTGTGTTTCTCTGGCAAACAGCAGTAATAAATTTCAGAGAGTTACAAAGAGAAAACCCCAATCAAATACCAGGTTGAATCAAAAGCTTTTTTATTTTCACTGATGATTTTTGTCAACTTCTAACTCCATGTTATATCATTAATTTGATACAACTTGCCGTCCAATCGTTGCTGAATTATTAATTCTTTATTTTCATATATAACCTATAAACAAAAATAAACATAAAAATAATATAAATTAACTTATAAACATAAAAATAACATAAAAATAGACATAACAATGATATAAATTAACTTATAAACATTAATAGTTTATTCTTTATTTTACAGCATTGGTAATGAGTGGTGAAAACATTGCATATAGAAAAAAAGTAGTGAGTGCAAAGACAGCGACAAAAGAAATTAATGATGTGGCAGGCGCATAAAACTGGTTTAGACATTTCAAGGAAGATGATACCAGCCTCAAGGAAAAACCAGCATTCATACAACATGACAATGACCCAGCACACACTGCCAATGGGACCCAGGCACAAACTTGAGGAAGCTGAGAAGCGAGAAGTGCTACCTCGACCTGCCTATAGTCCTGACCTTGCACCATCAGATTACCACCTTTTCCGGGCGATGGCTCATTTTCTGCACAGACGGAGGTTCAACAATATGCATAAGATTGAAAACGTGTGCAGGGAATTGTTTGCCTTTAAACAAGCCAAATAGTCTAAGCGTGGAATTGAGTTTTTGGTACAACGATGCAATAGGCAATAGAATATGATAGGATATATTTTGATAAATTAGCACCTATTTCTATGTAATTTCTTTGAACTATTAATTAAAGCTTGCACTATAAAAAAAAACTTTTGACTCAACCTAGTATATATATATATACAATAATAATAAAAAAGCACTTATCTATTTTCAGTTTCTTTATGAACTGACCACTGACCAGGCTCAACAATGTAGGAATATTTGCAAACAACTGCTGACAAATTCTGAAGATGTCGGTTTTTAGTGTCAAATTGTAACTGGGAAAGAAAAATGGATCTATTTTCATAATCTTAATAAGTGAAATCAGTGATTCATTCTGGCCAGGCTTCAGAACCTGTTATCAAACAAGGGCAGTTTGAACAGAAGGTGTGTTTGGTGGAATTTCAAGGGGTGTTACACTTTGAGCTTGTCCCAGAAGGTCATGCTATTAACGCTGAGGACACACACCCCTAGAGCACGAAAATCCCCAAGCACACACAGCCAATGAGACCAAGTGCAAATTTGAGGAAGTTGAGGGGCTGAAAGTGCTGCCTAAACCTGCCTACAGTCCACACCTCGCACCGTTAGATTACCACAGTTTCCATGTCATAGCTCATTAGACAGAGGTTCAACAATATGGATGGGGCTGAAAATGGGTGCATAGAGATTTTTGCCTCTGATCCAGCCAAATGG